TAGTAGTAGTAGTAGTAGTAGTAGTAGTAGTAGTAGTAGTAGTAGTAGTAGTAGTAGTAGTAGTAGTAGATATAAAACGTGGTAGTAGTAGTAATCGTAGTAGTAGTAGTAGTCAGTAGTAGTAGTAGTAGTAGTAGTAGTAGTAGTAGTAGTAGTAGTAGTAGTAGTAGTAGTAGTAGTAGTAGTAGTAGTAGTAGTAGTAGTAGTAGTAGTAGTAGTAGTAGTAGTAGTAGTAGTAGTAGTAGTAGTAGTAGTTGTAGTAGTAGTAGTAGTAGTAGTAGTACTAGTACTAGTACTAGTATTAGTACTTGTACTAGTACTCGTACTAGTACTAGTACTAGTACTGGTAGTAGTTGTGGTCGTAGTTGTAGTAGTAGTTTTAGTAACAGCTGTCGCAGTAATAGTAATCGTAGTAGTTAATGCAGTAGTGATAGTAGGCAAGTGGTTTGCTGCAGTCGTAGTAGGATGAGGATGAAAAGAACGACGGGAAGAAGGACAAATAACATGAGAAACTGGAGGAGGAGAAGGCGGAGGAGGAGGAGGAGCAGGAACAGGAGGTATAACCTGAATCTTGAAGTGATGTTCTGGGGGCACCCTGTCCCCGTCACGGGGCCCAGTTTTCTGGTTGCACCTTGTGAATGGCAGGGTGGTTGCAAACGCCCATTGTGGTTGACACTCCAGGTCAGGGCAGTTGTTGGGCAAACCGAGGTCGAGCGGCGGATGCCTCCCAGTGGCGCCGCTGGTTTGGGTGCCCTCACCATGTCCTGCCTTAGTAAGACAAAGCGGCTTGGACCTGGCGCCCAGTGGGGACATGCGATGGCCACGGCGGGTCAAATACGAACGCTCCTTTGAGGCTTAAGTCGGACTTTGGGAAAGTCCGACGAAAGTAACGTTGGTTTTCCGGAAAGTCTACACGGCGTGTCCAGCACATTCCTGGCCCAAAGTAACATTTCATCGTTTCGCTCATTTCGCCGGCTCACATTGTCGCACCGCTGTCGATTGCTTGAGTGATCGTTGTCAATGCGGTGCGGCTGGGCGGGGCTGTCTTCCTGATGGGGGTGCGTGGGATGCGTTGGAGGCGAGACGCAGTGACTGTGAAGTTGGTTTCGGGGTTTCGTCGCTGACTCCTGTGGTGTTGTCTGAGCAGTCGTTTTTGGCAGGCTTGTTGGGGTTTCCGGGGAGGCCTCGTGGCACCATTTTGGGGCCTGTTGGGAGCCTCTCGGGGCTTTTCGGGGGGCCTTCGGGGGGCCTCGTATGGCTTCTTGGGGGCCTCTTGGGGCTTCCTGGGGGCCTCTTGGGGCAGAAACGACGACATGACCAGTCGGGTGCGCAATCTCGGCCCTCTTTTGGAGTCGTTTTGAAGGCTTGGCCCATCTTAGAGGCCCTTTGGGCGGTCTTGGGGCCCTCTTGGCCGTTTTGGGGCCCTACTTCCTGCTGAATCTGTTACTTACGAATCGCATCGGGCGCCTGCAATGTGCCGAGCCCGTCGCCCGCTTGATACTATGGTGCCGTCGATTCACCGCTGAATATTGGACACTGTCATTGTCCGGGGGGAACCCAGCGACGCGTTGACACCAAGGTGTGGGGGTTCAGCCTGGCGCCTGCTTCACACCGCCAGTGGCCAGGGCGAGCCCAGCGCCTTCTTGGCACCAGCAGTAAGGTGTCCAGCCCAACGCCTACCGCTTGACACCGCCAGTGCCCAGCCTACTTGACGTCTGGGTCAGCCAGTATCTGGATCGAACCTTCTGCCTCCTTGACACCACCAGTGTCCAGGGCGAAATTCGGCACTTACTTGGTGCGGGGATCCAACTGCTCGACACCGCCAGCGTCCTGTGCGAGCCTGGCGCCAATTTGACGTCAGGGTGCCAGGGTTGAACCCAGCATCGTCTTGACGCCGCCAGAGACAGGATCGAACCCGTCGCCTACTTGACACCATAGCTCACCCCAGCCAAAATGGTAACCACATGCTGCCCAAACAGGGCTTGCGCTTAGGGGTTCGCGTGGTTTTCTTAAACCGTTGGGTGGGATCGCCGGGTTTTTGTCCGCTCGCCGTTCGCGGGCGCCTCTGGCAGGCTGGGTGTTCCCTGTTGTCGCCTCGTCGCCGCCTCGTGGGCGCCTCGTGGGTGTCCTGTGCGCTGGCTGGGTGTTCCTGGTCTTCGCCCGGTCGCCGCCCGCGGGCGCGACGTGGGCGCCTTGTCTCGGTGGCTCAGTGCTCCAGGTTTTCGCCCAGTCGCCACCCGTGGGCGCCTCGTGAGGCCCTTGTGCGGCTGCTGGCGTCTATCTACGCCTTGGCTTTCTGAAGTCGTGTCGGAGTCTCTTCCCGTGCCGAGGCCGGACCGATCGTCCGGCTTCTCGTTCTGTGTTGTCACATTCTTTCTGCACGATCGTCCGTCCGCCTCGCCACCCATTGTCAGCTTGCATGGACCCGCCCCGCAATCCCTCGCAACCAATACGGTTTGGGGCACTCGCGTTGATCCGACGAGTGCGTTTTGAAGTGAACCCGTCAAATCATAGCATGCGGACCACACGCGCGCGCATGTCGAAATCGTCCAACAACCATCGCGCACCCGCCAACTCTGTTGAATACTACCATGCTGGCCACACACGCGCGTCCCCGCGCGCGAATGTTGAAATCACTGCCAAACTGTTGCAGTGAATCAAACTTCCTATATTGCAAGCCGTTGCAAAACCACTGTGTGTATTTTTCTTAGCTTCACGGTGAGGTCGGACTTGACGCTTCACCTGTTCGTATGTGTTTCCGTGCTTGTTTTGCTCTTTCGTCTATTCTACATCTGATTCGCACCATCCCAGCCAGTTCCTTTAGCGTTGGTCACCCCCCATCTCCGTCAAATAACTCTGTTCGAAACACTCGCTATGAACCTTAATCGATTTTTTTATAGTGGGTCCGTATCAAATTGCATCATGCGGGCCACGCTCGCGCGCTCCCGCGTGCGCATGTCAGAACCATTCAATAACCTTGGATTTTCCGTCAATTGTACGATCATGCTGGTCAAATTCATGCAAGCACATTCTTCACTTTACGCAACGTGGTATTTTTTGTGCGCGAATTTGCTTTAAGCACAAGAAAGCCGTATACTGTTTCTGCCGTGTATTAAATGAGACCATGCGGGCCAACCGTGCGCGAATGTCGAACTTATCCGACACGCATCGTGCGCTCGCCAACTCAGTGAAGCAATTCCATGCGGGCACGACGTGCGCCTGTCCCCGCGCGCGTTTGTCGAAGTCAACTCAACAGCAGGGGTTTTATCAGACTTTGAAAATCGAGGTATTCGAACCACTAGCTGGTTGTCAAGACACCGTGCAATATTTTCTTTGCGCGTGCGCTTCCTCGTCTTTTTCGTCAGCAACATCGTCATCATCATCGCCAGCGTCATCATGGTCACTGTCATCTTAACCACCATCTTCATCACCATCTCCATCGCTGTCGTCGCCACCACCACCGCCGTCATCATTATCGTCATCGTCATCATCGCTGTCGTCGTTCAAATCGTTCTGTGCCACCACCGACTTGGAGGTAGAGGACGAGGATGAGGAGGGGAAAGGGGAGGCGGGGGAGGACATGGGGGTGACGGAGGAGGGTAACGAGGAGCAGCATGAGGCGGGTGTGGGTTGGGAAACTCAGGAGGACAGGGAAGATGAACCGTATTCTGAGAGAAAGGTGCAGAGAAAGAGGATGAGACGAACCAGCAAACAGATAAAGACGGAGGGGATGAGGATATGATCATACTGAAGAGGATGAGGAGCATGATTAGCAGGATAAGCAGGATGGATCGTAGGACGTAGACAATGGTGGTGATGATGTTGGTGGTGGGGATGACGAGGACGATGATGATGACGACGACGACTAAAATCATGATGCTGCTGATGATAATATGGCTGTTGATGATGACGATGATGATGATGCTGATGATGATGATGATGCTTATGGTAATGGTGATGACGATGGTGATCATGATGACGATGGCGACGACGATGCTGACGATGACGGCGATGATGATGTTGATGATGGCGATGCTGATGGTGAATAAGAAGATGATGATGATGATGATGATGGTGGTGGTGATGATGACGATGCCCAAACTGATGCTGATGCTGCTGCTGACGATGCTGCTGATGCGGATGATGATGCTGATGCTGATGATGATGATGATGATGCTGATACTGTTACTGGTACTGATACTGATGATGTTGATGTTAATTATGATGATGCTGATGCTGACGCTGATGCTGATGACGATGACGATGATGGTGAGGATGATGATGATGATGATGATGATGATGATGATGATGATGATGATGATGAGCATGAGGAGGATGATGATGATGATGCTGATGATGGTGATGATGATGATGATGATGATGATGATGATGATGATGATGATGATGCTGTTGACGATTATGATGCTGATCATGCTGATGATGCTGCTGCTGATGATGATGAGGCTGCTGATGATGATGCTGATACTGTTGACCATGATGATGAGGAGGAGGAGGTGGACGAGGAGGGGGAGACGGAGGAGAAGGAGGAGGAAGAGGGTGGCGGAGTCGGCGGCGGCAACGATGACGACAAGGCCGGAGGCAGGTCCTGGGCACGTGGCAGCACCTGCTTCCCTCCAGTGGGCTATCCAGGACCAGTCCGCCGTGCTTGCCAGACCCAAGTCGTGGCGCTTCTCCCTCTGCCTATCCTCTCCATCTCCATCTTCTTTTGCTTCTCCCTCTCCTTCACATCCTCTCCCTATCTCCATCATTCTGCCTTTAATCTTCTCTCGTGCGGCAGGTGGGCCGTTCCCGTCATCGTGGCAGTTTCCCACATCGTTTTTGCCAGCTTCACAGGCCGTGCCGCGCTACATGTTCGACAGGGGGGACGTCAGAGAGGTAGACATCAAAGAGGGAGCAGGGCGGGATGGCAGGAAGGGGAGGAGGAGGATCATGATGTAGCGGCGAAGGACGCAGCGGACACACGGGAAGGATGAGAGCCCGACATGCGACCATGTTTTGTCTTACGTGTTGTGCTGCGCTCGCATCTTTGTGTAATTCACTTTTCTTTTCAATGCAAAAATGATAATAGTTCGACCAAGTCTCTATCCATGTTTCGGGCATATGTCTTCCCGTTTGCTAGCGCACACCAGCGTACGTATTCGCATGAGCGGTTCGGATGTTGAAACATGCAGACGCAACGAGCGATGCCACGAATCGTTGAGGCTCTTCTCCAAACACTCTTGTCTGGTTGTTTATTCGCCCACGCCGCTGCCAAACGACAGGGAACCCAAACAAATGCCCTGCGGGACCCCGACGTGGCCGTTCGTTCAGGCCCCGCCAGCAACTGCACCGACGTTCTCTCGACATCAGCGGGCCGTTGGCGCAAGGCCACCTCCAGAGCGGCATTCGCGCTGCTGAGCATCGCTGATGATGGTGCCAGCGCGCCCAAGCGTCGCCCTCCGTGTTCCAAGTCAGGCCGCGGCTTGTCTCTTGCTGTCTTTTGGGTCTCTCTTGGCCGCCTCTGGGCCCAGCTAAGCTACAAACCCCTGCGTGCCCCGCCAGGCTGGTCGCGTCTGCCTCGTGCCTCCCCCGCGCGGGCCTCAGGCCTGAGGGTCGCCATGAACAGCGCGTACAACGCGACGGACGTGCGCAAGAACAAGCTATATGTGGGCAGGCACCCTGGCTGATGCGCCGAGGGGCCTATCCAGGGAGAGCGGCAAGCGGCATCTCGACGACCACGACGACGACGACGCCGACGCCGACGCCGACGCCGACGCCGACGCCGACGCCGACGCCGACGCCGACGCCGACGCCGACGCCGACGCCGACGCCGACGCCGACGCCGACGACGACGACGACGACGACGACGACGACGACGACGACGACGACGATAACGACAACGACGACGGCGGCGGCGGCGGCGGCGACGACGACGAACGACGACGACCACGACGACGACGACGTCGACGGCGGCGGCGGCGACGACGACGACCGCTCGACGACGACGGCGGCGGCGGCGGCGGCGGCGGCGGCGACGACGACGACGACGACCGCTCGCCGCCTCCCGAGCCCGTCTGCCGAGCTGCTTTTTTTGCCGCCGGGGCGCTCGGCGATCGGCGGGCTTGGCTTCAGGCTCGCTGCCCCGCGTCCGCCGGGCGGGGCCTCCTGGGAGGGCCCCGGGAGGGCCGTGGGGGCCCTGGGGGGGCCTGTGGGGTTGTGGCACCAGCGGCTGGTGAGGGGGCCCTGGGGGATCCCTGAGGCTGGTGAGGGGGCCCTGGGGAACGGCCCCGAGGGGGTCCGGGGAGGGGGTCCTGAGAGGGCTCCGCCGACGGGCCTCGAGGGGGACCTTGTGGGTGCCTCTGGGGGCCCTGTTGGCGGGGAGGGGGTGTCCCTGGAGATCCTGGCCTTGCATTTTTTTCACTCTGTGCGTTTGCGGCTGTCTTCGGGCCCTGGGGCCATCGCAGATCGACCCGGCTCGATAGGGTCTAGGTCTCGGGTCGTGAGCTTTGCCGATGTTCCAAGTTTTTGGCGACATGGTTCTCAGGGTGGCCCTGGCGCTGTGGGGACACGAGGAGGTCCTGGGAGGGCCGCAGGAGGATGCCCCAGGGGGGGTTTGAAGGGAGGGGCGGTGGGCTGGTCACCTCCTCCTCCTCATCTGCCCTCTCTCCTCCTCCCTCTGGTCCTGCATCTACGCGGCCCCAGGTGCTGATGATGATGCTGATGATGCTGATGATGATGCTGATGATGATGCTGATGATGCTGATGATGCTGATGATGCTGCTTATGATACCGATGACGATGATGATGATGCTGATGGTGATGCTTATCATGATGATGCTGATGATGATGTTGATGATGCTGCTGCTGATGATGTCGATGATGATGATGATGGTGCTGCTGATGATGATGCTGATGATGCTGCTGCTGATGATGCTGCTACTGATGATGATGATGATGATGTTGATGATGATGATGATGATGATGATGATGATGATGATGATGATGATGATGATGATGATGATGATGATGCTGGCGATAGCCTCCGCGCGCTCGAGCCTTTTCAGGAACGGCACGGGGGCGAGGACTGCTGCGGGAGAGAGCCATGTGCGTCGCGGGCCCACGCTGAAGGCGGGCCTCACGGGTGTGGCGAGAGGCATGGCGCCGTCTCATCCTCTGCGGCTGGTGGGCTTCAACCCGCTCTTCGCATCCACGGCCTTGCGCCTGTCGGAGCTCGCCCTTGCAGCTCCAAGCACGGACGCGCTGATCTTAGTGGGTACGAAGGCAGTTTGTAGAGTGAAAATGGGGTTCTTAGACAAAGGGTGGACGGCAGACTAGTGATGGAGGCAGGATTTCAACCAGGACCCTTCACACATCGACATGCAGGCTGCGGCATCATGCTGGGCAAAGGGGGTTCAAGACAAACACATACGCAGGACGTGGGCATCACCGAAGGGAGCAGAAGGGCGAGCGCTGGCGATCAGGGTCAAGAAGGGCTGCCTTGACGTAGTCTACGGAGAGGTGTGCTGTCCAGTTCAGCCTACGGACAGTGCTAAGACGGGGGCCTACAACAAGTGTGCCAAGGTGTTGACACACTGGTGGAGACAGATCTTACAATATATTTCGCAGCGCGCTCTGCCATGCTTCTTCGCGGACAGCAGCGACGGGATCGGATTTTCGAAATTGGATGGCGTATGGCAGCAGGTGCATTCAGACGGACTGGGCCATATAGTGACAAGGGAGCGACGCAGAGGGGGCGCAGGGGAACTTATCAGGCAGGTGCCAGTGTATGGCGGTGCCCACAACATTTGGGATCCGAGAGGAACCCACTTTCTATGCAAGTGGCAAGGACGGCCGACCAGGAGGGTGCAGTACGATCGACTACTTCTATGTGCCGCAGGGATACCTAGAGAGAGCAAACAAGGCGCATGTGCTTCGGGATATGGGGAGACGCGTCCAGGCCATCAAGGGCACACCACAACGAGACCGCTTGCCGATACTTTTGGAGAAATTTGCCAGGAACATGCGGGCGAGCAGAACATCACCCAGGACAGACGAAGGTGCGACGCGAAGGCGATGATGAACGCCATTGCCCATGGTATTGGGAAGACTTAGTTTCTTGTAGATATGGCCGCGGAGTTGGCAGCGAGGGAGGACCAATTTCAACAACACCCGGCAGAAGTGTCACCCGATAGCTATTTCGAGCTGATCGAGGACACGCTGCTCAAAGTAGGCTACACACACTTCTCGGTTACAGAGGAGCGCAGGTACAGGAGGGAGCAGGCAAAAGTACGACGCGAACTACGTCGGCAGCGAGCTGAGCTGCGCGATGGAGGGCAACGTGCGGATGACGCCGGCCTGCAAGAGATCGGGGGGCAGCTGGAGGAGCTCTCCACTACTCTCAAAGCCCAGCGACGAGCAGATAATGATGCATGCAGAGAAGAGTTCGTGAACTTAGCAGCTGAAAATCGGGGGAGGCGAAAATTCGCGGACGCGATGAAGTATTCGAGGTTGGCAGCGAGATGTCGGTTTGCAGCTAAACATCGAGATGGTCGCAAGTTTGGACCCTTACCTCTGGAGAGTGCTGTGTGGATGCAACAATGGAGCAGACCTGGTGGTGAAAGCGGTGCAAGAGCGGAGGCGCTTGATTGGGGGGGAATGGCGACGACGGCGAAACGGGCGACCACCACCACCTGAGGCCGCAGGACAGATGGAGGATCAGGCCAACAATGACGTCGGTAACATCGCGAGGTGCGTGAGGAAGGCGCCGAAGCGGAAGGCGGTGCCACCAGATGCGGCGCCCCTGGGGCTCTGGGATCTGGCGTTGAACGCGCTGCAGGAGACTGGTGAGCAGAAGCTAGGACTGGGGTGCGAGGGGCAGGCGGGCGACCAGATGCTGTTCAGGTACGTGCTATTCCATGGTATCTTACTGATGAGAAGAACAAACTCGGCACCTCTGTATTGGCGCACAAGCAAGGCGGTGGGATTAGATAAGCAAGATGGAAAGGCGGCAGCAGCAGGGCGACGAGCGATCCATTGTCTGGCCAGTATTTGGGAAGCTTTCTGCCCGAAGAAATTAACTTCCACTCCGTTGCCGCAGAACTGCGGGTTCATGCGAGGGCGGCGGCGAGATGGAGCGATCATGACATCTCAGGTGCTCAGTTGGCGTCTGGCGCATGGGGGATGGAGCTTTGCGGTCGCGATGAAGGACCTCCAAAATGCATTCGGCTTGGCGAGTTGGCAGGCGCTGGACAAGTCAGCCGAGGGGAACGCGGACATACAGGATGAGAGCTTGCGCGAGCAGAGGCACAGAGACACGGTCGTAGACTTGCCCACGCCAGAGGGGGTCCACGCAGTTAAGATCGGCGACGGCTTGATGCTGGGCGACCCCTTCAGCGTGGACTCATTCGCCACTTCCTGCGCGGAGCCTGCGGAGCGATGGGCCGCCCGACTACGAGAGACACAACCTGCGGCGAACCTCCTGGTTTGCGAGTGGGAAGGTATGCCGAACGTCGATCTCGGGCTTCGCCAGTATGCGGGCGACCTTAGCAGGCGCCACTTCTTGGCCATAGGGGCGACGATGACATGGTGGACGCGCTGAGGGCGGCTGATGACGAGCTCGACGCGGCGCCGGGGGCAGTGGGCACGAGGCCGAACAGGGAGAAGCAGGTCACGAGCGTATTTATACAGGGGACGGGCTCCACGGACTGCAAGAAGCGGTTGAAGCTGAAGGGCCGGGGCCTGCGCGGCATCCAGGGCGAGCTCGACGACGTCGCGAGGCACCTGGGTCCCCGCGTCACCCCCGAGTGCGCGGCAGAGTTTGAGGTCCCGAGGCGGCGTGGGGCGGCGAAGACAGCTTTCTACTTTAGGGGCGCGTTCTGGAGCTTATCTACACCATGGCGCTGGAAGAGAGTTGCATTTCAAGGAGCAGTGATGCGGGCAATCCTGTCGGGTATGGAGTGCTTCGTCTTCTCTGATACTCAGCGCCGGCGGCTTGTCCTTCGCTCGGCAAAGCTTGGGCGAGTTGCGATGGCAGGCGGTGCCGCTAGGTGGCTCGACGACGGCAGCGCGAAGAGCATGGCGACGGAGCAGGCGCCGGCGTATTGGAAACTGGCAAACGCGAAGACGGAGTTACTGGCACGCAGGCTGAGGTGGTATCAGAGTTGGGCTCAACGGCCATGGCATCGTGCACAGCTGCTCTCCACGCTATTCGCGGATCTACTTGGCACCGACGCGGTTGCACCTTGCGCGGGCGAGGGGCTGTCGCAGTCGGCATCTCCACGTGTAGTTCGAGTTGGGGCGGACATCTTGGAGGCGGCCAACTCGATGGAGGACGGCGCCGACATTCTCGAGGGGGTCGGCAGGGCGCCGCGGAAGCAGGAGGCCGACCGAGACTTGGCTAAACAGTTCGTGAGTCTGGATTTCGCCAGGGTGCGCGCGAGCAAGCGTGCAGTATCGGCCCCACCTGCTGGAGCTCAGCAGGCAGAACAGCGGGCGGAACAAACTGGTGCCGATCGCGACGGGGACGATGACCTGCACAACATTGTCGCGTGTGGAGTCAGGCACGAGGACGGCGTCGTTTGCAAGCAGCGGTTCCCGACGCGAAGGCAGCTGCTTCACCATCAGCGTAGTGCGCATGACGTTCGTAACCTTTGCCATGTACTGACAAGAACTAACCGGTGCATTCTCT